TTTATAAGATATTGTCAAAATATAGATTAGGCCATGCTTAAAAGATTGTTGGTTTATTGCCTTAAGGATGTTCGCTCCTTTTGTTTTTGAATTTTTGCCAGATATTCGGAATCCTCTGGTTTTATCCATGAAGTGCCATTAAAAATTTTCCCCACTCACCCCTACTTTTCTTTCCATAATTTGATTACATAAAGTTTAAAATGTCATCTTTGAAAATCTTATAAAATCCTTGTTATTTTTTCATCGTTTTTGAAAGAAAAAAGGTGCTTATGTTAAATTTATGAAAAATCTAGAGAGAATTATTTCCCGCCAAATTTTTAATGGCTTTTATCTCGAAAAAAAACAAGCACACCGACCCTTAATTTTTTTCTGCTTTTTTAGTTTATTTATTTACTATCAATTTAAACAGTCTTTTAAAAAGCTTGTTATTTTTGAAACAGAGTAGCGAACATCCTTAACCTGTTGGGTCTGTTTTTGCCCTTCGGGTCATTGTTTTTTAACAGATGAACATGATGAAATGGGAAGTTATTTTTCTGAAAATTTTAACAGATTCTGAAAGGCTAATAAGTCTTCTATTCAATTCTTACCTGTGTTGGGTGTACAGAATGGTACTGCAGGCGTAATCAACACTGGTTTGAGATGAGATAGTTCATCAAAATTTTCCCAAATAGAGATAATAGGGCTTGATAAGGGACTCTAAGGGCGGCCAAATCAGAAAATCGCTCCAGACACAGAATCCCTAAAAGGGTACATCATGCATACCTTGCATCCAGTCTTGTTAATTTTTCTAGCCATCTTATGTTTTCATTTGTCATTACATTTGTATATATATGTCATTATGTGCATTTACAAATGTGACTTAAATAGTAATTTTAACGATGAATGAAAAATATAAAAAAAGCTACATATATACAGTCAAGGGTATAACTCTATAGGGTTATAAGGGAAAAAAAAACATACATTTGTTATTGTGGACTAAAAAATCAAAGAACTGTGATAACATATGTATGTTACATGTTTCAAAGGGCCAATATACATCATTTGTTTTGTTAAAATGTATACAAGTTCTATTGATATTACTATTGTCTTTATGTATGCTAAACTATAAAAAGATATAACAGTTCATAGTTTGCCGATCATGTATAGTTCACCTATGTTATTACAGAAAAAATATGCCTGTAATAACTAAAGGGTGTTATAACATGTATAACATTGCTGCCTCTTTACATCACTTCAAAGCCTTTGCTCAGACATATATTGTAAGAAATGATGATCAGAGCATGTAATGAGGATTATGCGCAAGCTTCCCAGTAATTCCCAAGTGTCTCGTATAATAAGTTAATAACATGCCTTTAATAACTAAGCCTTATTATTACAGCTAAGTTTATCCCTTAAAAGCCTTGTCTCATTGATTTACCATGGTTGATAAAAAATGTATTAATTTAATTCGAAAATTAGTTATCAAGGCTATGTATTTAGTTTCTGCACAAAGTTTCAAGAATTCCCAAGTGCCCACTAAAAATTAAAATATTTATGATTTATTTAACAAATAACAAACATATGTTAGTACAGATTTAGAAAATGTAAGGAATAAAGAGTAGACAACTCATGAAAGTATCTGTAATAACACATGCAAGATATTTTCTCTAATAACCCTATAGAGTTATATCCCTGACTGATATACATTGCTTCCTATTCATTATGACGAATTACAGTGAATAATAAGCATATATTATGTGAAATACAATTGAAAACATGTTGCAAGAAAACAACAGTTTACCTCCTGCAAAGTAGACCAGTCCAATGTCATGAATGTGAAAGCTGGGAAATTGGTTGCTCTTTTTGCCAGGTACCTGCTTTCAAGATTATATTCAAATGGACGAAAGAATTTCGTACAACTAATGAAACAAGAAAATTTCAAATTTTTTGTGGTCATCTTAGATTAATTTTTACTCAACATCATTAAATCTCATTTGGACAGTTCCATGGACCATATGAGGATGAAAACAGCCAATCCCTAAATGGTTCAAAATGAAATCTTACAGATTTATAACAAATTGGGAAAATGAATTTTATCGTAAAGGGCTATTAACATAGGTTTAGGTTTCATTAAATTATTTGTGTAATCATCATTTCCAGATCTGTTCGATTGTCTATTTTTAAAATTTTATTTTAAAGAACACAAATGCAACAAATTATTTTGAGTCAACAGATGATGTGTTATTTTTTCTGTTTATGTTTAAGTATGTTACAAAAAAGCACATTATTCATGTTATTTGAGGTAAATGCTACTATGCAGATATTTTTATTTACATTTTAGCTGGGACTATTATACTAAGTTAGTATAATAGTCCAGATTTAGAGATAATGAATTTGGTAGAGTAGGTGAAATAAAAAATAAAGTATGAAATTTCAATTTTTTTTTTATTTAAAAATATTGCAAATATTGGGTAGGCGGATCCGTTAACAAATGTAAAAACCCTAGCCTTATGAGGGTTTGATATGCCCTTTCTTTAATTGTTTGTGATCTAACTTTGGGATTTCTTCTGATGAGACTTAAGGAATATTACCTTTGGCTGCAATTTGTTCAATGGGGGTGTTCCATTTTAGGTCTGCTGAAATTGTGATACCTAAGTATTTTGTATACATGTATATGTTGTACTGATTCTATGCATATGGAGGTCAAGGGCATTATTTATACAAGTCATGTTTGTTTACTTAAAGATGTAAGTAATATTTATATCCTTGTAGAACATGTAGAAGTAAATTTGTACATATATGGATTTATTTTTATACGACCGCAAAAAAATTTTGCGGTCGTATATTGGTATGACGTTGGCATCGTCGACGTCGTCCGAAGACACATTGGTTTTCGCACTCTAACTTTAGTTTAAGTGAATGGATCTCTATGAAATTTTACTTTAAGGTTCAATACCACAAAAGGAAAGTTGGGATTGATTTTGGGGGTTATGGTACCAACAGTTAAGGAATTAGGGGCCAAAAAGGGGCCAAAAATAAGCATTTTTGTAACTTCCTGACATAACTTGTGTGTTAATGTATGGATCTCTCTGACATTATACCGCAAGGTTCCATATGACAAAGGGAAGGCTGGGATAGATTTTGGGGGTTATTGCCCTAAACGTTTAGGAATTAGGGGCCAAAAAACAAGCACTTTTCTAGTTTCCAGACAATAACTTATGTTCAAGTGTATGGATCTCTCTGAAATTGTACTGCAAGGTACCATACCACAAAGGGAAGGCTGGGATTGATTTTGGGGGTAATTGCCTCAAAATTTTAGGAATTAGGGGCCAAAAAGGGGCAAAAAACAAGCATTTTTCTAGTTTCAGGACAATAACTTGTGTGTCAGTGTATGGATCTATATGAAATTGTACTACAAGGTTCCATATCACAAAGGAAAAGCTGGGTTTGAGTTTGGGGGTAATTGCCCTAAACGTTTAGGAATTTGGTGCCGAAAAGGGGCCAAAAAACAAGCATTTTTCTAGTTTCCAGACAATAACTTGTGTTCAAGTGTATGGATATCTCTGAAATTGTACTGCAAGGTACCATACCACAAGGGGAAGGCTGGGATTTAGTTTGGGGGTGATGAATCATAAGGGGGTTAAAAAAATTGGCGGGGGGTTTCCTTTTTTTCCTATTTTTTTTCTTTAAAATTTTTCATTTTAAATTGGTTATTTCTGACTTATATATAAAAGCAAATAATAATGATATGGTTTGAATAGGTAAATTAAAAATTTTTAAGTTCTTAGACCACATTCATTCTGTGTCAGAAACCTATGCTGTGTCAAATATTGAATGACAATCCAAATTCAGTGCTGTATCAAGCTTGAATGTTGTGTCCATACTTGCCCCAACTGTTCAGGGTTCGACCTCTGCGGTCGTATCAAGCTGAGCATTTTATTCATTTTAAGATTTGAGTAATCTCCCCTTAATCTTCTCCACAGTAGCTTAGTAGGCACTATAGAAGAGTTCCAGGATAGTTGTTGTTCAATGCAAAGATTGAAAGATTGAAAGTCGTATCACATGATATTTGATATTTTTTATTTGCATGCCTTGTTTTTTACACAGGATAAACAAATGTAATGATTTTAATAGATTTTCAATTAAAAACTGAAACAGGCTGTCCTAGTTTGACCCCATCTCCCTGATGAAAACCTACCATAACGTGACATTGCCCATGATGTCATGTATGTTTTATTTTTTTTAATGCAGAGGATGTTGTGTTATTCCCATTGCTGCATAGATTTCTCATGTATTAATATGTGACTTTTGTGTCTTTTGTGTGTAAAATGAAATTCAAATATAATTACTGGGCCACCAATTGATTCCTTATCATGCTCTTTAGAGTTATTGTCCTAAATTGCTTATTTTTGACAAATTTAAATACTTTTATAATAAGCATGATAAGGAGTCATTGCATGATTGCCAATAAGACCTGGATTTAAGCAGCTGTAGGTCACCCTATTGCCTTCAACAATGAGCAGAACCAATATCAGATAGAAAGCAATAAAAGACCAGACATGACAAATTCTTAAACAGTTCTAACACTTTAAACAACATCTCAGTGTGAATACACAGCAGATATGATCAGCTGCACATCTACAAAAATGTAGATATGGTCATAAAGCAATCTATTGAATATTTATTCATGTGGCACATGTGTTATTGCCATATCATGATATATCTGTAAATAAATTATTTTGATATTTGATTTCTAAGTAAATATATCCATACAACATATTTATTCAGGCTCCTTGGAGCCTCTTGTTTCTAAATATGCACACTATAATACAGATGAGGTAAAATGGCAACATTGTGAACGTGATTTATTTCTCGCAGAAATTTGGAATGAGAGTGTTTTTGTTTAGAAAAATCCCAAGGTTACCCCTCACTTATAAAGAGCATAAGAATTGTTTTCAAATTAAATGATGACTTTGTTCATGTGCTTTATAAAAAATATTTACCTTTGCTTTTTTTTATAGGTATTAGTGACTGATATGGCATCAGGATAACATTGAACAGTAGAGACTCAAAAAGAAACTTTGAAGTTAACATGGCTGCCCCAGTACTTACCCCACAACAGCAGCAGGCAAGTTTAAGAGCAAATATGCCTAAACCTGGAAAATCAGGAAAGCCAGAAAAAGCAAAGAAAATTGTAATAAAACATGTTCTAATGAATCCTTATAGTAACACTACATGGCCTTCTTTAGAAAATGGAGTGGAAGGTTGTTTGTTAGAGAAATTAGCAACAAGTTTTGATAAATTTGCCTTGCCAAAGGAAAAAGCTGGATTGAAAAGAAAAAATCTGGTAAATGAAGAAGTTCAACAAACTAAAAAGAAACTTAGATCACAGGTTGTCTTTGGGGTAAACTGTGTTACAAAAGCGCTTGAGAAAGACCGCTTGCAACTAGTTATCACTTGTAAATCTGCTAATCCACCGATTCTTACTCAACATTTGATTGGTTTGTCTAAAACTAGAAAATGTGTAGCAGTTTGCATCAACAATCTAAGTAAAACTTTGTCCGATACAATAAATATTGGATCTGTTGCTATAGGGTTTTTAAAAACAGACGATGCTTGTGAAGCAGAACTGAACTTTAAAGAATTTATAGACTATGTGAAAAGTGTTGTTCCTAAATCCTGGACAGAAAACAAGAAGGATGAAAAAGTTATTAAAAAAGATGCTGGTTCAAAAGAAGGAAAGAAAATTGGTGAATCAAAGGGAGATAATAGAATTGAATTTATTTCAAAGGGAGATAATCCTATAAATATTGGATCTGGTTCCAAGACTGACAGTAGTAACCAAGAGAAAGAGGGAGATACAAATATTACAGACACATCATCATCATCATCATCAAACAAAATGAAACCAGTGTGTCAAATCATGGAAAAACCAGCTGTTACGAATTCTAGTGTTGATGATTATTCTAGATTTTATGTTTTTAAAAAGGATGTTAAGGCGAATACTCCATCTTTCGGTGAAGATTTTATATCATTTATGTCAGATTCTGATGTTGAAAGTAATTCTGAAGAAGATGAAGTTAGAAAGAAACCTAAAAAGTTTAAAAACATAGAAGCTGATGAATATACTGAAATTGATGTGAGAAGGATGAAACAAAATGAAAATAAAAAGAAAAGTAAGAAAAAAATAAAGAAAGCCCTGAAGAAGCAAAATAAATGATTTCTAAATTTGTGGATGAATTTTATTTTTTGTGTGTGGCAATATTGGTCATTTATCAAGTTTATTTTGGTTTGTGAGTCACTGTACCTGGTCTAATGTCCTCTCTTAATAGTCACCATCTTATGGTGTTTATATATCTCAACTTGTACAATTCGCTCGTGTATGTAACAACGTATTAGATTTTAGCGAGAGAAATTTATATATTACTGAAAAATTATTACACCAGGGTTTTCGATATCATAAACTAGTCAAAACATTTACTAAATTTTATCATCGGTATAAGGACATCATTCATAAATATAACTCAACATGCAGACATCTTATATGTTCGGGTATTTCACATCCAATCTTTTATGGTAATATTCTTTACAAAGCACAAAAATGTCAGTATTCACCTCAAAAGCTAACAAAACCTTTAAACAGACTTATTAAGAAGGGATATAGTTACGATACTGTTGTCAGGTCATTAAAAATTGCATATTTTGGCTTTAATATTGATTCACTTATAGGGTCTTTGCATCGGAATTAAACATATTTATTCTAAAACCAGTTGTTGGCATGACACGGGTTATGTTCTTCTCATATATTTTATGACGGTATAATACTAAACCCCTAACAGGAGGGATTGTGCCTGATATTCATATGATAAAGACATAATCTTTCAATCAGTTTAATTGAGGTCTGGAGCTGGCATGTCAGTAACTGCTAGTAGTCTGTTGTTATTTATGTATTATTGTCATTTTGTTTATTTTCTTTTGTTTCCTATTCTGTCATCGGACTCAGACTTCTCTTAAACTAAGTTTTACTGTGCGTACTGTTGTACGTTTGTTTTTTCTACATTGGCTAGAGGTATAGGGGGAGGGTTGAGATCTCAAAAAACATGTTTAACCCCGCCGCATTTTTGCGCCTGTCCCAAGTCAGGAGCCTCTGGCCTTTGTTAGTCTTGTATCATTTATAATTTTAGTTTCTTGTGTATAATTTGGAGTTTAGTATGACGTCCATTATCACTGAACTAGTATTCATATTTGTTTAGGGGCCAGCTGAAGGACGCCTCGGGGTGCAGGAGTTTCTCGCTGCATTGAAGACCCATTGGTGGCCTTCGGCTGTTGTCTGCTCTATGGTCGGGTTGTTGTCTCTTTGACACATTCCCCATTGCCATTCTCAATTTATCTTTATTAGATTCTGTTATTACACTTATTTAAAACAGGTTGTTTCCCTTTGCCAATTGTAGACTGGTTCTATACTGGAATGTTCAAAATAGGATGTTGCCCATTCAAAGCATTATAAGTTGAAAATGTTATATAGTTGTTTTAACAATATAAAAGATTTTAATAAAAAGATCATTGATATCAAAAGTTTTCAGCCAAACACAAGATTAAATGGACATGATCATGATGATGGAAGAACAGATAAAAAAAAAAACCTAAACAGCTAGAGATTACACACATTATGTACAGATAAGTTTGGTCTTTCCACTAGCTCTTTATCATTGTTTATTGCAATGGAAATGTATGTCTGTCCTAAAAAAAAGCAACTAAATAAATTAATCTCTAATTACAGAATTGGCAATAAGACTATTTCTTCTATTAAAGGAAGTTCTTCTTTAAATTTACATACAATGTACATTTATAATTGGTTAAAGTCTGAGGATACATGTATATATTTTTTATGGCAGTCAGTTGTTCACTCACCTGTGTGATCTATTGCCATCACTTATGGTACATTGTGCATCATCGTCTGTTGGCTTAAATTATTTTTAAAAGGCATATTGCCCTGAAATGATAAATTTTCCTATATCATGTATTATCATGATTATATTTTGTGTTGTTTGTCATAATCTTAAACAATACAATAAACATGATTAAATAAGCAGATATGGTATGATTGCTAATGAGATGACTACCAGACAGAGTCCAAATGATGTGTATTTAACCCATTATAGGTCAAAATACGGCCTTCAACGATGAGCAAATACCATACTGTATAGTCAGGTTTAAAGAGCACCAACATGACAAAATGTGAAACAATTCAAAGAAGAAAAAAACAAATGGCCAGATTTATGGCAAAACCATAAAGGATAAAACAGATATACATGTAACAGTTATCAATCAATGACAACCACTAAATTACAGGCTTCTGGCTTGGGACAGACACATACAAAATGTAGGTAAACATGTTTGTGAGTGCTCACTGTTCTCCCAAACCTGGGACAATTGCACAAGAATAAGCTGTTAAAATCAGTTGCAAATGGCTTGATATATAGGTAAAATAGATAAAGAGAAACAGCAAAAATTATCAGCTAAACAACATTTACTATGAAGTTAACATGGCCAAAATTGTTATATGACTCCTAAAAGGGGTTGTAATATTGCCTTTGAGTTCCATTGATGAATTTACCCATTTTTCTTTTACGATTTTGGTGAAACAATAGTAAGTTGATAGAAAGTGTAAGTAAATAAAATGACAAGGCCAGACAAGATCATCAAATAATTGAACAATCATTATGTACAAATCATCAGTTGACTCCTTACACATTGTTGTACATGCATGTTTAATAGTAGTCACGGTTATTGTCCTTCAATGATGATTAATACCAAAGTTTTGCATTGTTGTAGAAAACTATAATAAACAAACTGTAAATAGCTTATCTCAACGACGCCTTATAGGATTCCTTTTTCCTTCATTCAAGATTTTTACCCATTATTCGCATTTTGTCTTTATTTTAAAAACTATAAAAGAGAGAAACTTACATTTTTATGCCTCCACCATAGCGGAGGGAGCATTAAGTTTTACCCTTGTCCGTCTGTACGTCCGTACGTCCCAAAGTTGGTTTCCGTTCTCTAACTTTAGATTGCATTAACCGTTCTAGAGTTATGGCCCTTTACAAATGGAAAAAATGCTGAATTTTTTTGTTTCCGTTCTCTAACTTAAGTAATTTTGTAAGTTGGCCTCATCCAAATGTTATGAAACTTATACACAATGCTTATTCCCACAAAATACAGATCAAGTTTGGATTTTGAAGGTGTCACTTTTATTGTTCTAGAGTTATGCCCCTTTACAAATGGAAAAAATGCTGAATTTTACTTTCCGTTCTCTAACTTTAGTTTGCCTCAACCAAAAACTATGAAATTTTTACACAATGCTTATTACCACAAAATACAGATCAGGTTTGTTTTTGGGGGTTGTCACTCTTATTGTTCTAGAGTTATGCCCCTTTACAAATGGAAAAATTGTTGAATTTTTCAATTTGGGTAGCGTCACTTTTACCGTTTTTCAGTTATGTCCCTTTATAACTTTATATGATAGACAAGCGGGGGCATCATCTGTGTCCCATGGACACATTCCCCATTTATTTGTACTAAAAAATGATCATCATACAATCTATCAATAAGTCAACATATTTACTGAAATTGCCAATCAACTATCTATATGGACTGCCTAAAATAACATTTTTTTGGCATTTTTTGTCTTATCTTGAGAATAGCAAAAATGTTCAGCGAGATAAGATCTTTAAAAATCAAGGGAAACAGAACTGAAGTTATGGATCGGATTCCTGTAGGAATTACAAGTCTACCCCCGAAATGAAAATTTGCAATTATCTTGAATACTAAAAGAAAAATGTCCAAATGTACCTTGTTTTTTTTGGGGGGGAAGGGGGGGGGGGGGGGTCACCACCGAACACCCCAAATAAGACAACCAAACCCGAAGAAAAACAGCAATATGACATAATGAAACTGAGAAAAAACGAAATTATGCGAATCGGCCAAATAATTTTATAATCATTCATTATAAAGAATAGAGATCATGGAAATGCTAGTATGTAAAAGAAAATGCAGATTAGTGAGCCATATCTTGTTTATGTATTGATAATAATAAAATACATTTTGGTCAATCATTATTCAACTTTTAAGTTTGTTACTGATAACACATTTATCCTCGCATTGATCCGTGTATTATATTCGGTACGGTATTGATATGATAGTTGTTTTTCATTTATTTGCAAAATTAAATAAATTGGAATTATTTTCAGCTATGATAACCGACTTCTGTTCTATATAAAATTAAACTGAAAACAAATTAAAAGAGATATTTCAAATTTATTTTAAAGCCCATGCCAAGGTTTTTTTATAATTATATATTAAATCGAAATATGTACGAAAGAAAATGACAATAACTCAAAATAATCTGCATATGAAAATAATGTATAAATATATCCCAAAATACATCTGTTGTATTGGTCAAATTTTGCTCAATCCATATGGTCCAATCTGTTTTCAATGCTTTCTATCAGGTCTATTAATAAATACATAATATTTGAAAATTCCTCTTAACTATATAACATATATTTTTATCTCGGACTATGAATAGTTATGATCATTCATCTATAAATAGAGGATACGTCACAAATCATTTCATATGTATTACTTTTGAACAGAACAGGAAGTATGTGTGGGTTTAAATTTCATTTAAAATGCAAGCAAAATTAAGTGCGTCAAAAAACTGTGACGAAACAAATAATCTTGGAATCTGTTTAAAGAAACCATTCAACATTTCATATGCTACAGTGGCAGCTCGAATAAGGTCATATTCAAATTGGACAAAGACATCTCCGAAACCAGTAGTTCTAGCGGATGCAGGTTTCTATCATACTGGCACGGAAGACGTGGTTCAGTGCTTTTATTGTGGATTGAAACTCCGACGATGGGATGTGTTCGATGACCCCTGGGTAGAACACGCAAGACACGGGAAATATTGCCCCCATGTTACGAATGTTAAAGGAAACGGCTTTTGCAAAAGAAAAGACCACATTGAAGAGGATGGAGCTTCATCAAAACAAGAAACGAAACGAAATTTATATTCGGATGATTTGATCTATACAACAGCAGCTAAGGCTTTGCTCAGTATGGGATGTTACAAGGACCAGGATATAAAAGACTCCATTAAACTATTTGTTGCGGAAAATGATACATTGGATTTCTCTGCCTCGGATATTTTAAAAATTCTACAGAATA